TTTTGCTATATCGAATGGGATTTTTTTCTTGATTTCTGCTTCTGCTGATTCATTGTTAGTATACAAAAAATGCCTTTGATTTCTGGATATTGACTTTGTATCCTGCTGTTTTGCCAAATTCATTAATTAGTTTGAGCAGGGTTTTGGTAGAGTCTATAAAATTTTCCATGTACACTATCATGTCATCTGCAAACAGTGACAGTTTTGTTTCCTCCTCTCCTATTTGGATGCCTTTTATTTTCTTTTCTTGCCTAATCGCTGTGGCCAAAACTTCCAAAACTATATTGAATACAAGTGGCGAAAGTGGACATCCTTGTCTTGTTTCTGATTTTAGTGGAAAAGCTTTTAGTTTTTTCCCATTGAGTATGATATTGGCTGTAGGTTTCTCATATATGGCCTTTATTATTTTGAGAAATGCTCCCTGTATTCCCACTTTGCTGAGTGTTTTTATCATAAATGGGTGTTGTACCTTATCGAAAGCTTTTTCCGCATCTATTGATATGATCATTTGGTTTTTGTCTTTGCTTTTGTTTATGTGATGTATTACATTTACTGATTTGCGAATATTGAACCATCCTTGCATCCCTGGGATGAATCCCACTTGAGATCATGGTGTATGATCTTTTTGATATATTGTTGGATGCGATTTGCCAATATTTTGTTGAGAATTTTAGCATCTATGTTCATCAGCGATATTGGCCTGAAGTTTTCTTTCTTTATTGTGTCTCTATCTGGTTTTGGAATTAAGATGATGCTGGCTTCATAAAAAGAATTTGGGACTTTTATATCCTTCTGAATTTTTTGGAATAGTCTGTGAAGAATAGGGGTTAGCTCTTCCTTAAATGCTTTGTAGAATTCTCCTGTGAAACCATCTGGTCCAGGGCTTTTGTGTGATGGGAGTTTTTTGATTACTGCTTCAATTTCTTTTGCTGTTTTTGGTGTGTTCAGATTTTCTGTTTCTTTTTCATTAAGTTTTAGAAGATTATATTTTTTCTAGAAATGTGTCCATTTCCCCTAGGTTTTCAAATTTCTTGGCATACAGTTCTTCATAGTAATTTCTTACAATCCCTTCTATTTCTGTGGTCTCAGTTGTAATCTCCTTCGTTTCTGATCGTGTTTATTTGAGTCCTCTTTCTTCTTTTCTTGATGATCCTACTTAAAGGCTTGTCTATTTTGTTTATCTTTTCAAAGAACCAACTCCTGGATTCATTGATTCTTCGAATTGTGCTTTTAGTTTCTATGTCATTTAATTCTGCTCTAATCTTGGTTATTTCTTTCCTTCTGCTTGCTCCGGGCTGTCTTTGTTGTTGTTGCTCGAGTTCTTGCAGGCGTCGAGTAAGGTTGTTTGTTTGAAATGTTTCTGTCTTCTTTAGATAGGCCTGTATTGCTATAAACTTCCCTCTCAGGACTGCCTTTGCTGTGTCCCATAAGTTTTGGGCTTTTGTGAGATCATTTTCATTTGTTTCCAGAAATGTTTTGATTTCTTCCCTAATTTTATTTTTGACCTATTCGTTATTTAATAACATACCATTCAGTCTCCATGATTTTGAGTGCTTTGGGTTTTTTCCTTCAGGGTTGGTTTCTAATTTCAGTCCCTTGTGGTCAGAGAAGATGCTTGGTATGATTTCAATTTTCTTGAATTTGTTGAAGCTCGTTTTGTGTCCTATTATGTGGTCTGTCTTTTGAAATGCTCCATGTGCATTTGAAAAGAATGTGTATTTAGCTTCTTTGGGATGAAGGGCTCTATATATATCAGTTAAGTCCATTTCATCTAGGGTGTTGTTTAATGTTGCAATATCTTTATTGATATTTTGTTTGGAAGATCTGTCCATTTTTGATAGTGGGGTGTTAAAATCCCCTACTATAATTGTGTTGCTGTCAATATCTTTCTTGAAGTCCTCTAAGATTTTCTTTGTATATTTGGGTGCCCCTATGTTTGGTGCATATATGTTTACAATCTTAATATTTTCTTGGTGAATTCTTCCCCTGAGTATAATGAAGTGACCTTCTGGGTCTCTCTTTATGGCCCTTTTTTTGAAGTCTATTTTGTCCGATATGAGTATTGCTACCCCAGCTTTTTTGTTGTTGTTGTCCATTTGCTTGGAAAACTTGTTTCCAGCCTTACACTTTTAGTCTGTGATGGTCTTTTGTCCTGAGGTGGGTCTCTTCTAAGCAACATATGTGAGGGTCATGCTTTCTTATCCATTCAGCTATTCCGTGTCTTTTGATTGGACCATTTAATCCATTTATGTTTAAGGTTATTACTGATAGGTACTTATTCATTGCCCTTTTTGTGCCTGTGTTCCTCTCTGTTTCCCTCTTTTCCTTCCTTTCCTTAAAGCAGTCCTTTTAGTATTTCTTGTAGGACTGGTTTGGTGGAGGCATATTCTTTTAGAATTCTTTTGTCTTGGAAGCTCTTTATTTGGCCTTCTATCTTGATTGAGAGCCTTGCTGAGTAAAGTAGCCTTGGTTGTAGGCCTCTGGTTCTCATTACTTGGAATATTTCTTGCCATTCTCTTCTTGCTTGGAGTGTTTCCATTGAGAAGTCAGTGGCTAACCTTATTGGGGCTCCCTTGTATGTTACTTTTTTCTCCTTTGCTGCCTTTAAGATTCTCTTTGTCTTGGAATTTTGCCATTTTGATGATGATGTGTCTTGAAGTGGGCCTCCTCGGGTTCCCCTTGATTGGGACTCTCTGTGATTCCTGGATTTGTGTGACTTTTTCTCTTATCAAATTAGGGAAATTTTCTCTCATTATTCTTTCAAATACGTTTTCTATCCCTTGTTCTTTTTCTTCTCCTCTAGTATTCCTATTATTCAGATATTATTATGTTTCATACTGTCTTGCATTTCTCTTAATCCCTCTTCATTCTTTCTGATCCTCTTTTCATCTTCTTGCTCTTTCTGTGAGATGCTTTCTACCTTGTCCTCCAACTCACTAATCCAATCCACCGCCTCATCTATCCTACTTTTGAAACTTTCTACTGTGTTCTTCAGTTCGTAAATTGTATTCTTCATTTCCTCTTGTCCCTTGTTGATAGTTTCTATTTCCTTTTTCATGTTGATGCAGTTTTCAGTGAGATCATTGTAGTTCCCCTGTAGTTTCTGATAGTTCATTGTGAGCTCTTTGAACTTCGTGATAACCAGTGCTTTGAATTCACTATCTGATAGTTGATTAGCCTCTATTTCATCTAACATTCTTTCTGAAGCTCCTGCTTTTTCTTTCATTTGGGGATAGTTTCTTTATCTTCCCATTGTTTGAGACTCTTCTTGTTAGTATCAGCTTCTAAAATTATCTGTTCTGACTCCCTGGGTTGATGGTGTGAACTTCTATGGTATGATACCTGTGAAGTTCAGTGGTGCAGATTCCTTCAGGTATTTTGACGTTCTCCGTCTCCACCTACTCTCACTCTGGTCCTTGCGCTGGTCCTGGCACTGGTCACCTACCACTGCTGAGTGTCCAGGCTCCTGTAGCCAACTCCTCTAGCACTCAGTCCCGTTGCTATGGCAGCGGCACAGGGACCGAGAGTGTTCCAGCTCCCGTAGCTGACTCCTCTGGTGCCCAGGTTTGTCACAGGGGCTTGGAGTGTATGGCTCCCGTACCTGACTCCCCGGGGCCCAGGCCCATTTCTATGGTAGCAGCACAGCGGCCTCCAGTGTCCCGGCTCCAGTAGCTGACTCCCCCTCATCCAGGCCCATCGCTATGGCAGCGGCACAGGGGCCGAGAATGTCCCAGCTCCCCTAGCTGACTCCTCTGATGCCCAGGCCCATCAGAGGGGCTTGGAATGTCCGGCTCCCATACCTGACTCCCTGGCTCCCAGGCCCATTGCTATGGTGGCGGCACAGGGGTCGCATGTGTCCCAGCTCCCGTAGTTGACTCTGCCGCTGTCTGGTGTTTCAGCATCGGTCACAATCTCTGGTCTTTTAATTTCATAAATGCTGGGTAATTGATAGTTTATTGTGCTGTTTCTCTATAGATCTGCCAGGATTTTCACCCACGAGTACAGGAGCTAGAATCTGCTCTGTCCTACTCTGTCGCCATCTTCCCAGCATCCCCAACATTTTGGATTAATATATCGTTCTGTGCTTAAGAAAAATTCTAAGGACAAAGGTAGGCTTCTTAAAGACTATCCATGTAAGTTATTTACATTAACATATCCCTTATTTATGTAGGATACTAAAAATACCTTTCACAACTGAGTTTTATCCTTTGAAAAAAGCTTATCAAAAGCTCATTAATGCCTTTAATATTATACTACATGTATATATAAAATTAGGTTCTTTTTTCATATTCAGGACTATCAGCTTTACTTTATGATCTCCTTGCTCCTGTGCCAGACCAAATTCAAAGCAATCAGAGATGTAATTTTCGCAATCAATGGGAAGTCTTATTAAAATTGTGAGAGGTGTCTTGAATAGAACATTTGTGATAACAATAACCCTCAAGTATGGCACTTGGTAGCTAACATGTGCCAGAATGATGCCCACACCTCCTGTCTGTCTCCAGTTGGAAGGGCTACTTCTGGTCCTTTGCCCACTTTCAGGTGAATTTCTCAATGAGCTTTGGGCAACAGATCAGAGTCAGCAGTCTTCCCTGTTCCAAGGCCTGGCAACTGACATCAGGACCTCTTGCGTGCCTCCTCTGTGGACGCTTGGCACCCAAAGGCCAAAGTAATACAGGCTCTCAAACCTGAGCTCAAGGTTTGAGAAGCATCCAGTCAGTCCCAGCTTTCAATGTGAAGGATGTTTTGCTCTGGGGCAGGCTGGGCAGCATGGGACCAGGTTCTTGCTTCTTTCTGTCCTTGCTTTCACATCTACCAAACACGTCAGCCCACAGAACAATCTATCCTCAGTGCATGACCTGGCTCCTTATGGTCGTGGCTCTTAGAGGCTGAGAAGATGTGCTCTAACCCAGCATAGTCATCCTGGAAGCTGCCCGGCCCCTTCAGGGAGGCCCACTGACCTGTCCCCATGCCTCTTCCAGGAGAGCGTATATGCTTACCTCTAATTTCTGTCTCTGAAGAGCCATTGGACCAGGCTGTCCATTTATTCTTGTACTTACTAATTTCCTGAACTTTGCAGACATAATGCCCTTGATCAGCTGGTCGGAGGGTCAAAAGAGAGAGCATGTAGAGTACCCCATGCCTTTCCTCCAGAAGACGCAGCCGCTGCCGGTAGGAGCTGCGGCTGAAATTCCCATAGTACTGCACCACCCTGAGCTTGGTCATCTTAACCATCAAGGTTTCCTGGGTGTTGGGATGTGCAAAAAACCAGCGCACGGCCAGCAAGCTGTCCTTTCGCCTCTTCTGGGAGATGTGGCAGAGAAGAGTGGCATTTTCCCCCTCCACGTAGTTAACCACAGGTCCTGGGGACACAGTAACATTGAGGGCCCCACAGACCTCTGCAGAGAAAAGAAGAAGAAAGATAGTGAGGAAGATCACTCTTCTTCTATAGGTGGACACAGTGTGTCTTTTTCCAGGAGCTGATGTGATCTGCATGGATAGAGAGTTAGACTACCCCAGTCCCTCCATTCTTGCTCTTTGCCCTCAAAATGGCCAGAAAGAGGGTTCCTCTGAGGGAACCCTCTGATGGAGCACACATCTTCTCCTATGAAATGGTTTCATCCACACAGAATGGCACTGACCACCAGGCCAAAGGTATTTTTTTTAATTTGTTTAAATGAATTGCTGATGCTTAAAATTGAGGATATAATATTTCACATAAAAATTTGGAGTTTTGGAATCTCTTATGAATGTTCAGCCCTCATAAATCCCTCACCACCCACCTCCCCAAGGCCTGCTTGGACCAGTTCTACCACAGGCATAAATGGGCAATGCTGTGGGTTCAGGAGCTGCCCTTCCAAGCACCTTTCCCTGTTTCTAGTTCAGCTGTCACCAAGACAAATTATCAGATAGCACTAGTCAGGCATGTATTAAATGAGTACTTAGAGCTAGAACCATGGGGGTTTCTCATTTTCTTGCTCCAAGTCCCTTTGGACTCAGGGCTGACATGCAGGAATAAAGATGAATGAGCCCGGGAACTGGAAGGGGTGAAGAAACCTCCCAATCGCCCACAAGATGCTCCAGCATTGCAGGCCTGGTCCACTACTTCTTGTCCTTTGGTTTCTTAGTTACAGTCACCTCAAGGGCTGCCCCTCCAGATTGTGCAGGGCAATCAGGCTGCCCTGAAGCTTCCAGGTGGCCCCTTCCTCTGACCAGCAAAACTCAGAAAATACAAAGGATGCCCAGAACCTCCTCTGTCCAAGCAGGGCTGTTCTGTCCCCAAAAGCCACATCCTCACCCCTGTGCAGTCCAGTGCATGACTACAGGAAGCACCATTCCCTGCCCAACCCACTGCCTAAGCAGATGTCCTGGATCATCCTAAACCACAAATATCTCCTAAATGTCATCTGGTCAGCTGCAGGGGTCAGGGCCTGAGGTCAGAGTAACCAAAAGTTCTGAACTCAGGTCAGTGCTGCAGGTAGGCAAGGAAGGATGACAAAAAGATGGGAGATCTGTATCTTATGCTGTGAAGAGATTGTGAGTCAACCTGGTGAGTCCCTATGTGTGTCACGGTGGGTTGGGGGTGCAGCATAAAAAATATTCTTGCCCTGGCTGGATGGCTCAGTTATTTAGAATATCATCTGTATACCAGGTTAAATTCCCAGTCAGGGCACATACCTAGGTTGCATGCTTGCAACCTGATACACTGATACCCAGTCAGGGTGTATATAGAAGGCAACCAATTGAAGTTTCTCTCACATCAGTGTTCCTCTCTCTTTTTCTCTCTCTCCCCTCTCCCCCACTCCTTCCCTCCCTCCCCCCCCCCCCCCCCCCCCCCCCCTCAAATCAATAGCTATATCCTTGGGTGAGGATTATACATTAGCCAATAAGGTCATCCTCTTGTATGTTTTCCACTATTGATTTAACAAACTGAACACCTTGAGAGATATGACTTGAAGGTCAATGTTCTTTCATTTTCTTTCTCATCTCTTAGAAGCCAGGCTCACCAGGATACTTCAGGACCCTTAATTTAACCACATGATTAAGCGCACTTTGCCACATAAGGTAACATTCACAGATTCAGGGATTAGGACACAGACATTTTTTGGGGGGAAGGGGGTCACCATTCAGCTTACCATATTATAATAGTCTTTTGTTACCTTAAAAAAAAGATGGAAGCAAATTCAGAAGAAAAAGATTGATGCTCACATGGACTCTAAGTAGCTTGTGGACAAGAATGAGGTCTTCTGTATCTACAGTGACAAAGGACAAAGTAGCCCAGGGAGTTACTCGGGGAATGTACATGCTCTCTAGTAACGATCTCTAACAATCTCACTGTCAACACAAGTCACTGATGCAGGACAAAAGGGGGAAACTTCCCCAACTGTCTCCCCTGCATCTCACCCACCTGGCCTGCACTTTGCTCATATGCCATATTAGTCCAGGAACATTTCCCCTGACTGCTAAGTTCCTGTCTAAAAGGCCCTCATGTTGGGAGTTACCTGGAGAGCAGCCACACACCCAGAATACCAAGCTGACCCAACTCCAACAGCAACACAGGCGTTCAACAGGCAGAGAGCAGCAGAGGCAGCAGCTGACCTCCAGACTTGAAGTCCAGCTCCACCCACCCCCAAGGGTGGGCTCCCCACTGGAGGCAAGGAGAAGGGGAAGGCAGGAAATTAAAACAATATGGGTGGATGAGGGCAAGGCTGGGTCCCCACACCCCAGTCTCCTTCTATTAACACTGCATGAAGGAGGGATTTTTATGGTGAGAGAATGTGCCAAGTACTCTGGTCCCCAGGGAGGCCAGATTCCATCCTGGAAACAAACCAGTAACCCTTCCACTTCCACAGCTCAGGCCAAGAGTAAGCAGTTCCCATGAAGGGAATGGACTGAGCCATCTTCCCAAAACAAGTCCTCCCCTCCTTTTTACCTATATGTCTTTCTGCCTTCATTCATCCCATGTTCTCTCACAAAGGGCTCCAGCACAATTCTCTCAGCGAAGTGCAAAGATTTCTGATATGGGCTGAATTGTGTCCCCTCCTAATTCATATACTGAATCCCAACCCCTAGGACCTCAGAATGTGACTGTACTTGGAGAGAGGGCCTTTAAAGGGGTGATTAAGTTAAAATGAGGCCACTAGTATAGACCCGAATCCAACACGATTGGTGTGACGATTGGTGTCCTTGTAAGAAGAGGAGATTAGGACACAGACACACACATAGGGCAGACCATGTGAAGACAGAAAGAAAGTGGTCATCTACAAGCCAAGGAGAAAGGCCTCAAAAGAAATCAACTTTGTCAACACCTTGATCTCAGACCTCCCAAGGACTGTGAGAAATACATTTCTGTTGTTTAAGCTACCAGTCTATGGGACTTCATTATGGCAGCCCTAGTAAACCAATGTAACCTTGTTCACAGGAAGACTCATTTCAGCCCTAACTCTGCCACCAACCAGACAGTCGCACTCACTTTCAATAAGAATAAGTGCAACTGAAACTGTGATGCCCAAAAGGCCCTTGGAATCTTAAAGCTTTGCTAAAGAACATAGGCTCTCAGGCTGTGGGGTACTCCCAAGCCTGTGATGATCTTGCTCCGAAGGCCAAGTACCCCAGGGTAACATGCTCCCCTAGGCACAGAGATGCCTAACTTAAACCCAGGAGACACAGCTCACGTGTGTGGGGGTGAGGAGGCACTGCAGGAGGCGAAAAGATGCAGGTGGGGAGCCTATGCCTGGCCAAGGTTAGCTGACCTGGATACTGAGTTATATACTAGGTGAGAGCCACACTTTCTTCTCTACTTCAGTCACCAGGACTCGTGTGGCTCAGGAGAGAACACAGCAGAGGTGGGCAGGACCACAGAAAGCAAAGGCAAAGCTGATATGGAGCCAAATGGTATCTGGGGGGTCTAGGCCTTTCCCTTCTTGATCTCAGTCTAAAGAATAGAGCATACACACCCTGGAAGGCATGAAGGAAGCCCAGAAATCCTGGGCCAAGCCAGCTATAGGACAAGGGAGAATGGGTGTCACCAGACCCTCCTACACCTGGTAAGGTAAGGGAGCAGTCCCGGGCAGGGCAGAGTCTCCCCTCTTCTGGCCTAGGAGGGAGAACTGTCAAAGTTTGGCCCAGAAAAGAACTAAATTTTTTGCTTTGTGATCCTGGGGGAACCTCCATATTCAGAGTTCCCATTTCCCCTAGTCTATGCTTCAGCTTATGCTTTGTACCCTTAACCGTTCAACACATACTTGCTGAGCAACAGCCATGTGCTGGGCACTGTGTGAAGAAGAAGATAGCATTCTTAATTTCATGGAGCCTTCAGCCCAGTAGGAAAGGCAGCTAGCTGCTCATCAGGAAAAAGACAGGAGTTTGTGACAAGTAGTGTCACACACTGCAGAAACAAGATACAAGGCTTAAACAAATCAGGGCAGGGTCCTGACATAGTCTAGGGGTCAGGGGAGAGAACTTGGGGAGGTGACCATGAGATGAAGAATGAGTTGGACTTAATGCCACAAAATTCAGGGCAGCTGAAGGAATCACTCTCCTGGGAGAAGGCCCCACCTGTGCAAAGACCCTGAGGCAGGAGCACCTAGAACAAGCTGGAAATAGAGAGATCAGCATCCTCTAGTATACACGTGGCAAACACGAGACCTGCAGGCTGTATTCAGCCCTTCACCTTGTTTTATCCAGCCTGGCACCTTGTTTCTACCCAGCTGCAGCGCCAAAATCTCACTGAACTATTAAGGAGTAGTTACATTTATACAGTTCTAAAATTATATTCAGTCCTTTGAGGGCAACTGCAAAACTGATGTGGCCCCCCAGTGAAAATGAGTTTGACACCCCTGACCTAGTGAAGTCCACTGCCCCATGGCCCATGCAGCCACCTGGATCTGCAGATGGATTTCAGGAAAGGATTTTCCACACCCACCAGGGCCTCCAAGGCCAGTTCTTAAAGGAGGCAGGGAAGACACTGATACAGAGAAGGACAGGACACTGCTGCAGTGAACCTTGTTCCTTCAATAAGCACAGGCTCCATTACTTGGGAGCCCTGGTTACCCCATGTGGTCTGGGCACTGGGCTTCTCACGGCTCTAGGACATCCCAGTGGCTTATTGGGGCTGGGCAGAGAGTCAGCTAAGTTGGAAACTTGGTTCTATTAGGAGTAATTCCCTCAGAGCTTCATTTTCTTCATCTGAAAAATGAAAAAGTAATCCCTTACATGGTGAGTATAAAGCTCCAGTGTGAAACTAACTTTAAAACCTTGATAATAGTTTGCATGCCCTGAAAACTAAGCAGGTAGGGACAATAAAAAGTGACATACACGCTGACCCATGAGTAGGGTGGGCTTCCTTGGTGTGTGTCTTGCAGTTACACAGGGGGCCCCCCCATTTGGTTTGATACTTCCTGTCATTCCCTGCACATTTTAATAATTTCTGAGTAGGGGGCCCCACCTTTTTACTTTGTACCAGATCCCACAAATTATGTATCTGGTTCAGGCTGTAAGCAAACACTGAATTCCTGTGGGTAAGATTGATGGGGTATAACCAACTTGTTCCTATTTGGATAATGTTTTCCAACAGCTCAGAAAACGCCTAAAGGACATCAGTGTAGTCAAATAGTACTACTCATCTAGCACACAACCTCTCCTCATAAGGGGAGGGCAGCAACTTCCAGATACTGGCAAATGTGGGACTTATAGCAGAAACAAGGCACCAGCCTTGACTGAGAGCAGAGGTGGGCACAGCCTGAGTCCTTCTCCTCTAACCTGGCCAGTGATGTGCTAGTGGCTCTGTGCCCTGCACTTCTTTTCTGTCCTGAGGAGCCTTGCCCCACTCATTTCAGAGAGCCACGTGCCTCTATGTTTATAAGGAATGCAAATTTTGTGTACCACTCAACAGCAAAAATCTCATTCTCATTAAATGGTTAGTGTGAAATCATGACAAGTAAATCTCTGAAAATAATACAACTGTATTCCTTGAAAACCCATGGCCCTAGGATGAAGCACTTACTGAGCACCAAGCACAGGTGCAGGGGCTGATGCAATCATAATAAGCCCACCACCTGAAAAGAGCTCTCATCCAGGACAAACATACGGCTTTGACCAGTGGTAAAGGCTAACATAACATTCTCTAGATGTGAACTCCATGTCAAGTACTATCTAAGCACTTTAGATGTATTTTCCCAATTTACCCTTACACTGTGTTTATCCCCATTTACAGACAAGAGGGGTGAGGCCCAGAGAGGCTAAGCCACATGCACAAACTCCCATAGAATGTGGTAGAGCTAGAATTGAACCTAGGCCATCCGCTTCAGAGCCAACTCTCAACCAGCACTTGGTACCAGTTTGGCTTCTACTAAATACTTTGCCCCTTGGTTTGCTGTAAAATGAGAGGTGGTACCAGGTGATTGCTAAGGTCCTACTCTGCCCCAAAATAGAGAGGTAGAAAAGTTCAAGGGTTAAGACTTTAGACTCATTGTATAAAGTGGCTCTGCCAGGCTCTGCCTTGGGGGATGGTGACAAGGAGTCACAGGTGAAACACTTAGAAGAGTGGATAGCACATGATGAGCGCTGCCAAGCAGGAGCTGTCATCATCATTACCTGAGCTACCGCCTTGGTCACAGCCAGAGCAGGCTCTAAAGAATCCTGAATTCCAGCTGATGTCTCCTGGAACATGAAAATGTCCTTGACCCCCAAAAAGCCTCTCTGAGGGTGCCCTCTCTGACAGCACCCAAGATTAGGAAGGTGGTCATGGAGCCTGGGGACAAAGACCCCTGTGCCCTCTTGCATCCCAATTAGCTGCTGGCTACTCTACACAGGCCATCAGAGCTGGCCAGGCCCAACTATCACAGTCAAACCTGCAGCTTTTGTCAGTCAAGACGGTGACAGCCCTAAAAGAAACATATCCCACAGTGCTGATTTCAGGTTCACTAGAAACCCCATTGCTCTGGTAGCCAGGGGCAATGGGTGAATTTCTTCCCACCATAATGATCCAAGTCATTCCTCAGATTCTGATCTATGCTAGTTATCTCAAAGGCCATCTCTACCACTTGGTAGCTGGGTCACCCCTGGGAAATTACTTAACACTGAGCATCAGCATTCTTGTTTACAAAACAATGGCAATACAGCTTAGCCAGTATAAGCATAGAGTCTAGACCCAGGCTTCCTGGGTTCAAATCCCAGCTCCACCACTTATAAGCCTTATGATTTAAGGCAAGTCAACTCATGGGCCTCTGCCTCAGATTCCTCATCTGTAAATTGGGGAATTTGCAGCACCTCCCTCAAAGATTATTGGCAAGTTTAACTGAGTTAATGTTTGTACCTGGATATACAAGTATTTGCTCTTGTCATTATTATTTTGAAGTAGTACTCTGAATAAATGAGATAACTGTATAGCACAACACTTGGAACCCAGTTGGCTCCCGGGAAACCTGACAGCCATTGATACACTTATTTTTACTATTATTCTAGCCAGCGTGGCTCTTTCAGCTCTGAGGCAGGCAGTAAGGGCCCTGAGGAATAAAGAGAGAAAATTCTTCAACAACTTGGAAGTGAGCGCAGAAACCCCCAAATGAAAGCCAGCGAGCTGTGCGGGTAGAGGCTTTCCGTAAGGCAGGGTGCTATGTAAATGCAGCTATTGGATACCCTATCTCACCAGGCCCGGTCATCACAAATGGCCCAAATATGTATGTCCCCAGACCCAAAGCTAGCCAGGGAGATCCAGCCCCTCCAAGGAACGTCCAAAGACAGTTAAGGGAAGTTGCTGCGCAGACTAACCGGCTAACAGTTGTACGTACTGTGGAGGAAAAAGAAAACCAACAACTAGGGTTCACGCTTTCCGGTTTAAATCTTCTACTGAGAGACCTGGCCCTTGAAAGGGAAAGGTTGGCTGTTTTGAGCTTCTCTGTGGAGCGACAGGGTCCTTGCCAAGGAAGGAAAAAAGGGGGAGAGGGCGCCGCCCGTGCCCTCTGGCAGGCATCCGCGTGGCGACAGGGACAGCACAGACTCGGTCCGCCAACGCGCACAGGGAGGGGGAGGCCTGGAGGCAGCCGAGCCTCCTCACCAGGCCCGAGCCCCGAGCCCCAGCCGCCCCGAGCCCGCCGGCCGCCCCTCACCCGCCAGCCGCCATCCGCGGTGCTTACCCGGGGCTGGAGCCCACGCCAGCAACAGGGCAGTGGCCAAAGCTAGCAGCCGCATCTCCCCTCCGCTGCCACCCAGAGCTGTGACGCGCCGCTGCCCGCTGGTGCTGCAGCCTAGCCCGCCCCGCGCCCGCCCCCAAACCCGGCCCGAGCCTCGGCCGGCCTGGCCCATCCTGGCCCGCCCCTAGGCAGCCCGCCCCGCTGGGCCCGGCTTCAGGGTGCCTGGGGCCGCCCTGGGTGAGGGCAAACCGCGCCCCCCCCACCCCACCCCCGCGATCATTCCAGGGCGACCTGTGAGCGTCTCGTTTTCACTACTCCCATTTCACAGATAAGAAAACTGAGATTCTGAGAGCTGATGGCTGGACAGAAGAAATACGCAGCTGCAATGGGATTCTCAGTCTGTTAGCATCACAGACAGTTATTTCTGAGGAGAGGAAATCTTGGAGCTTGCAGGTGGGGTGGGGTGGGGGAAGGACCAAATGTCCCTGTGTGAATGTAACCTGCTGCCCACCTTCTACAGAGACATTTGTGAGCCAAGGAGCAGAGCGGTCGGGAGAGAAGTTCTTTCCTGCTGCATTGAACTGGGTATGGGGGTGCCAGGGATGGGTACCCTTGCAAAATGAGAGGGTCCACATAGGCACTGTTAAAAATAAAGACTGCTTAGGGTTCTTTCAGCCACAGCCTGGTCTAGGTACTTAGCACCATGTCACTAAATCCTGACACCGTGAGGCTCCTGGGATGGCTCCTTAATCTCTATATGCCTCTGTTCCTCTGGTTTCCCCTCGTTTCCCATCTATCCAATGGGATAATGGACATGTTCCTCACCAAGTATTTAAGAAGATCAAGTTACACAGGTCCAGTTAAGGCCCATGAATGTCAGCTATCGTTAGTATTATTATCATAGGTAAGGAAGTGGAAGCAGGAAGATGAAAGAGCTGACCCAAGTCACACAGCCAGGGAGTGGTGACAAAGCCACTCAGCCCAGGTCACTCTGAGTCAACACCTAGTCTCTTTACCATGGTTCTAAACTTGGGGTCTGAGCCTAACTGATGTGTTAGTCCAGGATCTCCAGGGCATGAACAGTGCATGTTAGGTATGTTTTGTGTCTGTCTGTAAGGGAAGGTCTTTGAGGGGTTCCAGAAACAGTAGGGTCTGCTTGGGACTGGGTCCATGGAAGCAGAGGAAAACAGAGTCCCCATCTCCTTTCCTCTATGGGTAGTGAAGGGAGTGTGGACGGCAAAGAGAGAGAGGTGGTATTGAGCCCCAAAATGTGTCCCAGAGGGACCATCTACCACTATAGCCCAGGCCAATGGGTGTAAGACTTTGTGATCACTCCAAATCTCAGGCACTGCCTGAGGTCCTAGGGCCCATGGTCCTTATAGGGCTCCTCTAGCTGAGAGACCCTCACACAGTACAGGGCCCTGCAGGGACTGGGCTGACCATCAAGGCAACCAGACTGGGGAGTGGCCCTGCTACTCAGCCAGGCTGGTGAAAGGACCTGAGGAGTCTGTGGTGAGCTAGCTTCAAGGTCCCTGAATCTAACTGCAAGGACAACAAGTGAAGACAGGAACTGATGCGTGCATCAGCCCACAGTGTCCACAGTGTTATAGATGAGATACGAGACAAATTCACACAGACTATCAAGTCCTGTGGGGGAAGGGACAGCAGGGCTACTCTCAAGAGGAGAGCACACCAAACCCTGCCTTGACAAGCTTTTATTCGGTTCAGTTAGCACAGGAATACAGGTGAAGCTCATTAATCATTGTCAGGCAGTAAGGATCAAACAATGGATAGCATACCAAGAACTACAGGGGCCTATTCTGAGTCACGGTCTGTTAGATACAGGGCTACAAAACTTTGGGAAACAAACTCATTTCCTGCTCAGACCCTTATTATTTAATTGGGAGCATTCTTAGCAAAGCAGTTTTCACAGGAGTTTATGTATTCTTTCTTAGACCTGATCACCCATGGAACCCGCCCTTTCCAGCACAGGGCTGCACTGCCCTCTGTCATTGTTTCAGGCTTAAATCAGACAGGGGGAATTAAGGCAGCCAAGAGATTAGGAGACTTCTCGCAGACAGAATGAGGACTTGGGCTATTTGTCAAAGCCAAGAGGCGAGGGTCCATCACCCACTTTTGCTATAGCCCCCCAAGTCCTTCCTCGGGTCCTCCCTGTGATTATGCCTGTCTTAGGTTGCTCCCCTTTGGGGAATCTTACCCATCATTGGCTAACCGATCAAGCACTGGGGGCCAATTATGGATGAAGTAAAAGGAGCAGAAGCAGCACTCCTGCCAGGGAGTTAAGCTTTGTCTCCTTAGTGGCTTATGGTCAGAAGGTCACTCACTCAGCCTTAGCCATGGGGGGTTACAGCTTCTCAGAACAGGCAGGGTGGTTACCAACAAGGAACTGGTGCCAAACTGGATCCTACAGCCCTAGAAAGCAAACATTCCTAGGAGACTTCTAGACCAGAGCCTGAAAACCAACTAATTCTGTGAGGTAACTCAGTATCAAAGAGGCCTGAGGCCTTTTCAGAGTTCCGTGGGCCATGGAGTGTCTGAACTGGGAACTTGAACTCATGGCAGAAGAAGAGCACTGGCTCTGAAAGTCAGCTGGCATCCCACCTGAACAGTTGTAGGTCCTCTGAACTTTATTTCCCTGATGCAGTTGACAACATGTAAAATGGCATATCAACATGACTACATATGGGCAGGGAACCAAGGAAATGGCAGGACAGTTTGGTGTCCTTCATGACCTTCTACCTCAACACTGCTGCTTTCAGTTTACTCTCCCAGTTGGTAGAAAGTAGAAGGACACATGTTAGCCAGCTTTGAGGAGCAAGTTCCTGCTTCGTTCATTGTATCACTTCTTAATATCCATCTCTCCTTGCAGAGCTGAGCAGATGTTCAGTCCAGCACTGGACCTAAATGCTCAGCCTTTTTCTTTGCCAACAGGTGTAGTGCTGGGGATTTGGGGCTGGAAAGTGTTTTTCTTGCAGTTCTGTGATACATAACATTGTTCTGTTTGCAGCTATGCTCTCTCTTAGTACTCTTCAGCTTCCCCAATAATCTGCCAAACATTGGTAAGACCTTTGTTGCATGACACAGGATCAGAGAAATATACCCAGTTCCCAGGGAAGACTCAGCCAATGAGCCAGGTGAGACTCAGTAATTTAGCTGCTGTGGACTGCAATAGCAAAGGGCTTTGCCTTGCCCTCACACACAAGTTTAGGATGATTTGAAAACCCTCCACTGGCTTATTTGCCTGTCCTCTGGCTCTGTCAGGTCTGACTTATTGTGAATTAGAATAATACAATCTAATTATATATTTAAAAAATTACCTCTGATAAAAATCCCCCCTGTCTGGGGGATTGTTTGGGGTTTCTGGATGAGCATTCACATTGTTGTGAAGTTGATCCAGGTGCCTGTGGACACTAAGCTGCATGCTGGCTCTACTCAACTAATCCGGATTCAGCCATTCATCACTGAAGGAATAGAAATCCATATTCCCTCAAAATCCCTAACTGCATCCTGCTGTCTCATGGTGCCTAGGAAGTGCAAGTCTCCTTTTCCTCTTTCATTATTCAGTTGTTTGCTAAAACCTGGGCCCAAGATGAAAGTGTGGCATGGCTTTGTAATTAGTTTGATTTTGTGTATAGGAAATATATTCCTAAACTAAAAGCACCAAGAAAAAGTAAACACTCCCCTTCTAAGGTGTTCAGCACATTTCTGTATTGCTTCTTCAATCTGGATTTATATAAGTAATGTTTAAGTTTTCCTCCTCCATATGGCTCACAAGCATTTTACTGCAAAAAGAAGTTAGTCACACGCTTGTATTTTCACTAAAGGGACTGAACAAAGAGCAACTCAGGATAAAAGGGGTTTCAGCTGTGACTGATGGGGGAGGATGAGAAAGAAGAGATCACAGTTACAGAGGACAAGTCCATCCAATTAGGAAAGTCATGAGCCACTGATGGCAGACCTTTCACAAAACCTGCAGGATCTTTTCAACTCGTAACAGGAGAAGAGGAGTAAAGTGCGCTGTTTTTTCCATTAAAGGTAAGGAAATGTGAAGCTGTAAGCCTGACCATGTATCTATCTACATAGAAATAGCTTCTCCACACCAACCACACTGGTGACTCTGATAAATTGGGGTCATTCCACAAACTTAGCAGTGATTGTGAACTTGGTATCGGGGACTCTGCAGGTTGGCTAAATGAAGAAAGAAATGGCCTCCAGAATCTAGAAGGCTCCAGATGGAAGGGATTGCAATAAGGGAGAAATTAAGAACTGAACAGGTTATCTAAATCACTGACCTCAATGAAGGCCATGCCCACTTCCTCTTGCTAGTGATGGGAACATTTACAGTGAAGATAGCCCTTGAACTGAACCTTAAAGGATAGTGGGAAAATCCTGAAAGCAGAGTGAGGGGCTTGTTCCAAGCAAAGGAATAGCATGAATCAACGCACAGAGACTAAAAGATATAGGACTTTCAGGTCCTGTAGGTAGCTTCTGGGGGCCTAGAAAACCAGTTGTGCTCAGTGGGTAGAAATTGAGTCAGAAAAGTAAGAAGCTAGAAAAATTCTTTGGTAAGTGGAATGATGAGACTGAAATGGATAGCCAACTGAACTGGCCAAGCAATTTTCAGCCAGATACAGAAAGTTACTAGAGTGGAAAGTCCCTGGTGCTTAGGGGGCTTATACCTTAGGTGGCCTTTCCTCCCCTGGCATATTGCTGGTCATGTGATTTAGACCCCTTGAAATAACTTCTAGGCCTCATTTATATTTTAGTTTCAGGTTCAGAAAAGCAGCAAAACCTTTTAGGCAATGCCAACACCAGTTGCAATGTCTAATGATGCCCTGTCCTGGCACTGACCAATGAGTGAGACCATTACCCTGAAAGGGTACACCTGGAAAAGCTGAGCATTTTGTTAAGATCCGACCCTAAGACCTCTCCTAAATCTCCAGCTTTTAAAACCCTCCAAAGAAAGGAACCATGCCCACACCCTTCCCTTCTCCCTCCTCTTTCTACCACAGGCATGTATCTCTTAAACTCTAAGGGACCCCATGAGATTTGCGAACAGGGGAGCAATGGACAG